ATCTTTTTGTATAAATCTTACGCTTAATATAAAGCCTTAATAATTGAAGAATACTATGATACTATGCATTTTTATATTCTAAGCTATGTATTTATGCGCATTGATTGGAGGTGGTAACTCTATGTAAATATGATTTTTAGATATTTATATAATATTTAGGATTGTTTATACTTCCGTTGCAATGTTAAAACTGACATCATTAATTGCAACGATTATAGGCTAGTTCAAAAACATTCGAAAGGCTTGTTCGTTTGTGCTAAGTGTTCGATTTTTACAGTTTTTTATCTTTTATTTGATTTCTTTTTCTTGAGAAAGGTCATTTAACATGACCGAAAACATTTGAAGTAATAAACTTCGGCTGCAAGATAAGGTGTAGTAGTAAGTTTTGTTTGTTATTAATAGTATGCAGTCTAGAACGAATTTCATAACAGTTAAGAATATAAAAATTTTTAATAAAATATAACAGGTAGCATCACAAATAAAATTTTAAAAAGGAAAGTTTAGCAACTCTTTGCTGGTATATTTTATTACTGTTCTGTGTTGACTTCTATTTCTATACTACTTATGAATTAGCAGTTGCATAAAGTGGAAATTTTATTGAATTTGCATTAAAAATTTTTCTGTTCAACTCTGTTCCCCAAGAGTAAATCCTGTGTGCACCACTGTTCTTGACAATGATGATTTTGATATTTTTACATATAGTCTCCTTGAAATTTAAACCAAGAATGCATTTGTATTATTTAAATCATGCAGAAATAATTGTTTTTCAGAAGCTGCTCCTTGCCATAATTATCTTCTAATTCCATTGATTTAATTATTTTGCTGTATTTTTGTATTTGATATTCTTTGCCTTTCAAATAACTATCTGAGTTCAAAAAGGGACAAGTAAAGGAAAATTGCAAGGCATTGTTGCAACTTTTAGAAAAATAGTTTTTATCACTGGTGCTAAATTCAACTAATAACATACAGTGGAACCTCGCTCAACGAGCACCTTGCATAACAAGCAAAACAAATTTTAAAAAAATTGCCTCACATAATGAGTGAAGAGGAGAGAGAAAGTCCTGAATTGTACATATGCTCCATCAGTCTATGTTTAGTACTCGTTCTGCTAGCTAGCATCTTAGTGTCGCTTGTGATCACATATTTTTCCAAACTTGTGTCACCTATATTACTTTTAAACATCAACAACCATAGCCCATTATATAATAAACACGCTAAACAATATGCCAAATTTTTGGATAATGTAAAGGCTATAATTAAATATTAGAAATTAATTAATTTGACTAGAGGTAGGCAGCTATGCTGCCATCTTTGTATTAAATTTAATGACCAATTCCAAATTAAAGTTTAGAAATGTCTGAATTAAAAATTAACTATTTATAATTACTAAATTTAATATGAGATGACAGCATAACTGCCTACCTCTAGTCAGATTAATTAATTTCTAGTATTTAATTATAGCGTTTACATAGCTCAAGAATTTGGCATATCATTTTGAGTGTTTATCAAACATATTATCTGTGATATATTTTTTTTTTTCCCTGCAAATCAGATTCGCATTCCAGGTTGGTTCATTCCATGCTAGAAGAAAAGATGATGATGATTCACGCTTCTTAACAATGCACATTGTACATTTTCCTTTGAATAAACATTATACATAAAATATTTGAATATTTTTTTTTTTTTTTTTTTTTTTTTGGCATGTAGTGCATTATTGTATTTTACATTAATTTCTATGGGAAAAATTGTTTTGCTTAACGAGTGTTTTGCATTATGAGTATGATTCTGGAACAAATTATGCTCGTTAAACGAGGTTTCACTGTATACAGTGACATTCCATTAACCAGTATCGCCAGGACCAATGTGGTACTGTGTTATTGAATTTTGACTGTGCCTTATCACAGTCAAAGTTTATCCAGTTTTTTGATCCTTGGACACAATTTTACATATCTTTTTGTATAAATCTTACAAATCTGTTTTTTATGATTGTTTAACATGCCATTTCAATTTTTCCAGGCTATTCCTATCCTTGGTTGGCTTGAAACAAGAATACACTGTTCTTCATGCTTTGTACACTTTTATTGCCTTTAAATGCAGGTATACTGTAATGTCAAAGTACTGTATATGAACTGTAATGTACTGTTTTGTGATAATTATGATTCCAATTATGCTACATATTTCTGCTAATCATTTCAAACTTTCAAAATATGCAGTAATGTCTTTGGAAAAAGTTTTTAGAAAAATCATACATGAGCTAAGTGGTTTTATTTAGCACAGCATTGTTGTCTTGGCTTTTCTCATCTCTAAAAGGAAAACTCCTGCCCCTTTCCAAGAATTGCATGTTTTGAGTGCTTTTACACAGAAATCTTAACTCCAGACTTACCCAGTGCATACCAATAACCCTTTTCCAACAACACGCTCAACATGCCAGTTTATTAGATTTGTCAGCATATCAGATGCTGGGTTAAAAGAATTTCACTGTAATGGGTTTTTGTAGAAATAATGATGATACAAACAGGGGTTAAATACTTGAAGTCAGCATTTATAAATTATCAGAACAAACCAAGTGGATTTATATTTATGGAACAATAGGTAGTGTTGGTCCTTGTGGGCTGATGTCTTGGCAAAGAGGCTCTTAGATGGGGAGCTTCAAGGCAACATTGAGGTATTATGCCATCCACTTCTCGTAACAGACGTTGCAGGTGTGACTTGTCCACAGAAGACTTGGATACCAGTTAGAGTATCGTATTTAGAAGAACAGCCACCATACTGCTCTTCTAAATACAATTGAGACTATAAAAGTACATTTCCATTACTTTTTTAAAATTAATTACCTTTAAATGCTAAAATTGTTATAAAACAGTTAATACATATTTTAATGAAATATTACAACTTTAATAATGAATTAGTGTCTTTGGGTGATTAAAGAAAAGGATTTACATTTATACAACACTTTAAATGGTTCTACTAACTTAAATCAGTTTATTAGTGCTTATCACAGCAGTGAATATGAACACAAAATTTATTAAATTTATTTTATATTGAAGTTTACAGTTTACAAAACAGATTTTACAATAATCAAATCTAATATGTGTATAATACATCCAAAATGCATTTTGGACCCTGAAATAGTCCCTCTTCAGTTGATGTTTCAATAAATATCACAAAATAAAAAATTAGTATAAATTATATTAAAAAGCCAAAATAACCATGAAGACATCAGAATTAAGAAACTGATATTATTTCACAAGTGCTGTACAATAAATTCTATCTTTTTCATGTTTTCTATAACTAAGTCAGTTGTAAAGAGTTCTACACAGTTATAGACAATCAGTTATAGACAACTTTCTACAAAGTTCTACAATCAGTTATAGACAACTTTAAACATAAAACAATAAAGTAATGGACACAGTGCTTACAATTGATACCTCTGAAGGATTGACTGAAACATTACACCAAATAAAAATATGAACTTTTTCAATCAAATCCTGGGAAAATGGGAATCACAGTACAACAATTTACATATTTATACTCCGTTTTACATCATTAATGCTTATTTTTACTAATATAATCATACCAACCTTCATCTGTTTTAAACCGAAAATGATAATTTGGGTGTAAAATAGATGAAACATCTTTTTCATTGATGAAAAAATGTTTCTTTATTTACACAATTTATATACACAGGCACTTCTCACTTTATGAACATTCATTATTAAAAATGACGTAGCAAATGCAACTGATTAGTTTGGTGTCCTGAATTATGTATCTATCTCTCTTTAAATTTGGTCCCAAGTTTAAAAAATGTATACATTGGGTTTTTGAATACATTTTTTTAAGTGAGAACTTGGCTTTAGGCTTCTTTTTTCATATATAATCTGTTAAAGAATTTATTACATATGCATTTTCTAAAGAAGTGTTTTCTGCAGTGTTTGTTAAGTCTGTTAAAACCTGTTTATATATTACATTTGATATATTAGATTATGAATAGCTAGTAATTCCAGTAATTTTCTACTCAGTTATTACTAAGAACTGATCACTAGAAAATTACTAGAATTACTACTACTAGAAATCTTTTATATGAATTGTAAAGCTTTTAGCAACATTAATATGAGTGTTCTGGATTGTAAATTCTGAAATTTTAATTTGATATAACGTTTAAAATACTTTAACATTAATTTCTAATCTTTCATAAACTATATTTAAAACTATTTCAGAATGTAACCTTGAAGGAATTAATGGATGAGGATGATATTTTACAAGAATGCAAAGCACAAACCAAAAAATTACTTGATTTGTAAGTATATTCAGTATTTATATTAATATTTAAAATGGATTCTTCTTAAGTTTATTCTAAATAAATAAATAAATGACTAGTGAGTAAATATCTCTTTTGTTTTAAATACAAAGTACTTCAGAAAAAAATGGAGAGGATAAACAGCAGTAATATTTATTCTGAATATTTCAAATGTGTAAATATTTTTGACAGACAATCATGCAAAAAGAAGATACCAGAGTCAGTCAGTCAGATAGATATAGTATTTTTCTTTGATTTTACATTTTTTAAGATTTTTTTTTATTTGTCCAAAATAATTAATTTAAAAAAATATTTATAAATTTTATAAATATTTTCGTATAATTTATAAAGTTGCAATTTATTACATTATGCACAGAATTGATATGCATTTTACAATTATTGGTGTTTTATGTTTACAATTTAAAGCAAGAAAGAAAAGCAAAGCATTTGGTATAATTTTATATACAGTAAACATGAATAAACAGGAATTGCATGGCATTGAATTATTTTTTCTGTTTTGGTAGGTTTCCATTTTGATTAGGTTTTATTACTTTTTCATTTTTTCTAATCTTCAAACTACACTGGATAAATATCAGTTATGTTCATTTTTGTAGTTTTTCCTGATGGTCCTATATATCCCTGGATTTGGACCCAGGATGAATTTAAATGAAATCTTTTATTTAAATATAATGTTTATTTAGAATATAAAAGAGGTCTATTTGATGTATATTATATTGGATAAACTGCAGATATTTATTGGTATAATTAATATGTTAATGATCATTCCTCTTTATCCTTAAAAATGTCATTTTTATATTTCTATTTGTTGTTTTTAAATTTTAATAAATTTTGTTGAATACTTCCTGATTAGAATAAATTTCTAAAACTTCTGTATTGGGTGTCATATTTTAAAGTAGAATTAATTAATACTTTTCATATTATAGTTTAAGTCGTTCAGAGATAATGGATGAAATGGTTACTTTAATCATTCAAGAACCACCAGAAGATTTAGATGAAAAATCAAGATATAAGTAAGAATATTATATTAATTACTTTGAGATTTTGTATTTTCTTATAGAAATAATGAAAATATAGAAGTGATTAATTCCTTTTTTTAGAAAACTACAGTAATATGATGATGATAAACTTTAAGTATTAATATGAATGTGCTTGTTTATATTGGATATTTAGCCTAAGATACAAAATTTATTTATAATTTATACATACTTTTTACAGTTAGTCTCAAATTATAGAAATAAAACAGTAACTTAACATGTTAACTACCACCATTGAAAAAATTTTTGTCCAATGTGCCATTCTCTTTTTTCTATACATCTGTTTTCATAGCAGATTCCAAATTTGCTATTTGAATTGATTTTTTAAAAGTATTTTTGCTAATTTTGAAAGTTTTGTTTGAAGTACAATATACAGGGTGGGGCAAAAAGGATGGATGTTATTGAAATAGCTAGAACTCACCACCAGGTGGAGTGGTAGGTGGCAGGAAGGTAATGAGGTCTTAGCATTGTCTTTTCAGTTGAAGTCATGGAGCATTGGACGATAGAATACCACATGTTTGCGTACAACTGTCCTCAAGAATAACAAGTCTATAATGGCAGTTCAGCATGAGTTTTGTTGTTATTTCAATATCTGCAGAAACAGTGTTCTGCTTGTAACATCATCCTATGTTGGGTTATGTAACATCATCCTACGTTGGGTTAAAGCACTTCATACATGAGGTACACTAATGAATGAAAGACCGTCGAGCATCACAAACGGCACATACCCCGGAAAATGTGGAGAGCGTCAGACTAGCCTTGTTGTTCAGTCCTCGTTGATCTGCTTGGAAGCATTCTTCTGAACTCGGCCTCATTTATCTTTCAGTTTGGCGTATTCTGTATTTAGATTTGAATTTCCACTCCTACAAATGGGCCGTTGTACAACAGGTGAAGCCTTGGGATTATGCATGAAGTGATGTTGGAAAGAGTGGATGCTGACTTCAAAAACACCTCCAGAAATGCATCACAGATAACAGACACAACATAGGAGATATTGTTTTCCACACTTGATTTTGTAAAATGCTATTTCGATATGAACTCTCACTTTCCAACAAATATCTTTTGTAGTAACAATTACAGATGATGTGATGATTTTTTTTTAAAAACATCCATCCTTTCTTCCCACCCTGTATATGCCTGAAGGATTAGACAAATTATTTTTTACAAAACAAATTCTAATATTTTTCTATTTTGATATTGCAAAGGTATTCATATTTTTCTTTAATTTACATATATAATATATTTTAATTTTTCTAATAAATAAAATTCATTATACAGTTTTTTATTTTTTAGTCCCAGAAATTTTAGTACAAAGTTTGGGTCTACCAAAAATTAAACTACATTTACAGAAATGCTCTGCGAAATACTACTGGTAGTTCATGGAGCATTTTGTGTAATTGGTCATTGAGGCACAAACCTTGTACCTTAAAGCACCGGGGGAAATTTTTAGCAAGTCATACAACTGGTACTTTATGGCAGTAAACATATTAAGTTATAAGCAAAATCTGTTTTGAAATGTCCTAAAAGTTTTTTGGAGATTCCAAAATTTTTAAAAAATTTAAGATATATATTTGTTTTTTTAAAATTTAAATTTCAGTGTTTTTAAAAATAAAAAATTTTAAAGTTAAGTGAATACAGGTATTTTTAGTTAACTGTTGATTCATAAAAAAATAAATGAAATTTTTTCCCATCAGAACTGATTGAATATAGATAAATGAAATCTTTGTTGTTGATTAAATACAATAATAATCTCTCTTCATAAACAATATACCTGATATACAGGGCATCAAGAAACGCCACCATTTCCACATTTAAACAATGTTTAAAACAGATGTTGATGCTTAAAAATGTTCAAAATGAAACTATATATGCATTCCAATCTGAAGTACAGGACCTGAAGAAGATTCAGTGTAGTGATTGAAAATGTTAATCTATATTTTCCATTAGTAAAGCACATACTAGAGTTTATTTTATGGTTCCTTGGTATATTTTGTTGAAATACACTTTGAAACATAAAAAAAAAATTTTTTTTATGATGGCAACAAAGTCAGTCTAAACTAAAAAAAAATCTTTCTGCAAAGTTGTGCATTTTTTTATAAATTTTTTTTTCTGAAAAAGTATTTAACTCAGTGTTGTAAAGAAATTTTTCACATTTGGGAATAAAAAAGTCCATAAATTAGTGCTCAGTGCTAAAAAAAAATAGGTCTTTTGTAGTGTCAATTGACATTTTATTTTTGTTACTTGACATATTACATCCATTATATAATTGAGTACTATCCTACAATGGCACATGCTTATATTAAATATAAATTTTTTTTAATTTAAAAAATGTTTGTTAATTTATGAGTTTCATGTTGTTTGGAAATTATACCATAGACTTATTTAATTATTAGTATAATTTAACTTGAATTTACTATGTAGTCTAGAAAGACTACATGACAATAATATAATAATTTACAAACCAATTAATTATTTTCTGTGCTAGCATGCATAATTTTTGGTGAAATTTTGATTCCTGAAAATATTCTGCATCTCTGTTCATAGAGCATATTAATAATAATTCAAATATAATTAAGACACACTGATAAATTACAATCAGTATTGTCAGTTATTTTTTTAACATTTGATACTAACATTACTATTAACACATACTTATTCTTATTTTTGTCAAATTTTAAAATTGAGATGAAATGAGAAAGAAATGTAATAATTTTGCTTTGTACTTTATATTATAATTGAATAATTTGTAGTAACAAAACATGTTCCAAATTATTTTATATGTATTTATGAAGAGTGGGTGGTATCAAATAATTTGTCTTATAATTATTGCTAATTTATTTTTCAGATATCCAAATATAGCCTGTGAAATTTTAACTGTTGATGTTACACAAATTAATGATGCACTTTCCAGTGATGAAAGTCTCCTTAATAAATTATATAGTTTTTTAGACACAGAAAAACCTTTAAATCCACTTCTGGCAAGCTTCTTTAGCAAAATAATTGGTTTACTAATTTCTAGAAAAACAGATGCAGTAAGTTAATTGTCTTGTAGTTTTCAAATTTCTTTTGNCTGCAAAAAACGTATTTTATGATAATTACTCGGTTCCATATTCTGTTCTGGAGACAATATACTTTTTAATACGTTGTTTTATAGGACAAGAATTATCCCGTGCGTTGTGTTGGTTGTTATACGTATTGTCATGCAGACAGTGGCAACAGATAGGTTCATACTTTCGATTTGGACATTCATTGTAGGAATGTTTTTCCGTGCAATGGCTACATACATTTGTGGAATGCAAACAGTCGCGAGCGGAATGATTGTATCCGCAACACTTAAAACACTGCAGAATCAGACAAAAGTCTACGACTCTGCAGCGTGACCATTCTACATTAGCTTTTCCTATTGCCAAGAGAAGTTTTCGGACGTTAGGTGAAACTTCCACCACCCAGTTCTTATAGGTAGAATTCTTTTTCCCCATTGTAAATTTAGTATGGAATTGTTTCATGTCAAATTTTCATAAATTATATGATTTTGTTGATATACCAACATGGGGAGTTCTTCCTTCGTAATATCGGAGTGAACAGAATAAATCACAATATGCAGCCATCTCTTCTTGGGACGGCAGGTTATCAGCTCAGGTATCTGCTCCTCTATGGTTTTCTCTAAAACTACTGCATCCCGATTAGTACATAATTCAATGGCTAAACCTCCTCCTTTAATTTTCCTCATTTTATCTATACCAATATGTATATTGGATGGTTTTATCTTGACGTTCATTAATTTTCTAACAACATTGCTATTGTTGTTGTCCTTTTCTTTACTATAAACAAATAGTAGTACTTTTGAGGAATTGATCTTGTGAGGAGTGTTGTTACCTCCTATGTTTCTGCTTGTCTTTACCATTGTACTATATAGCAGAGAGGAGATATATTTTGATGTTTTGTCTTCAATTTTATTCAATCTCTCGAGGACAGCTTTTTGTGTATCAATAAAACGTCCTTGTTCTGTCCTTGTTCTGTCTGTCTTTGTTCTGTCCTGAATCTCATTTAATTTATCCAGTGTTATTTTCTGGGCTTTAGAGAATTCTTCAACAGTGATATAAGTTGTTATATTATTTTCAATTTTATTCAATTTTTCCAGGAGAGTTTTCTGGGTTGTTAATATCCCTTTGAGATTGGAATTTTGTACTATATCCTCATTACTAGTCAGAGGCAGGCCTGTTGTCTAGTATTTCAGGTAGTTCAACTGTGTGTATATCAGCTTCTGCTTGATTAATTACTGCTAAAAATTGATCAGTAATATATTGTAAATGGACACCTGAGCCAAGTTTTCTATTTCGGTTGTTAACAAGGTAAGTTTTGACTTCTTCCAAAATATTGTATGCGTTCTTGTGAAAAGTTTCTAAAGTATTAGACAGCATATTGGATTCCATAATAATGAATCAATAATGAACTAGGTAAATGAGTATATCTCACATGTGTAAAAAGATAATTTAATGCTAAAAATATACTTAACATAGAATATGTGATTAAAATAAAAGTATATAATGAAAATCACTTTAAAAATTAGAACTATGCATAAAATAAGCACGTTATGGATTATATATTTATCCAACGTTATTAAGATTAAAATTATTGAGTTCCTGAGAGATAGACAATTCCAAATATATAATATACTCCATATGTCTGTGTAGTATACTGCCTTAACATGCTCACTTCCGGTTTATTCCTTCTAATATTTAATAAAGTTAAGGTCAATGATTGTAGTCATAGCAACCTAAGAAAAGTTCAAAGATGTTGAAATGGAATGTGATACTAGGATCTTCATAATTTAAATTCTAATCGATGTGTGTTGATGAAATTTTCAACCTAAGTCACTTTAGATACAAGTACAAGTATATAAGAAAATACATACAAGTACAGTACAGTATTTTCTGAGGAAACATTTGTTCTTTATTCTTTTTTAACCCCATTCCCGATAACCTGGCATTTTTACAAACTCAGCCACCCTTCGGTCCACATTAGGCTGAGTTTTCGGGACTCTACTGTATTAGAATTTAGATATTTTTGATACCTATACTTCTAATGAACAGTCTGTGATCAAAATTTCATTTACTGTATCATGTATAACTAGTAGCCTGGGACGCCCCCTAGTGGGCGTTCCAGCAGCATTACAAATTCCTGAGACATGTTTAATGCACTTAATATATGAAAGTTGTGTGCGCTTAATGTTTAAAAGTTTGATTCAGTTAGTATATATAAATGTATACAATTCTTCATCTTCTGCAAGCCTCCACGTGTTGATTGTGCTATTCTCTGTAATGTTTCCTGCGCACGTCTCTCCCTTTGTCTCGCAGCAGTGGCAGCTTTACATTCCCTCACAATAGCGTATTTCTTTGGTCGTGCAATGAAAGGTTTCTATTATTATATTAAAATATTACCTTAACTATTTCAAACCTTATCGTTTTATCGTAGCAGTTCAAATCTATCTGGTTTTTCGTTATTTGTCCCCTAGTGAACATTACAGGCATTCCGTGACAATAATAAATTCCTATTACAAATATACTGAATTATTTATATTGTTATATGTTGGGCAAATAATAATTTATTGGCCAAATGAATAATAATAATTTATATTGTTAATTTAAATAATAATTAAAATTGTTAATTTGAATGTTTGAAATATGACACACGATAGGGGCGCCTCTAGTGTCCGTTATCAAACGGTTACGGGACAGACGGACACGTTGAATGGGTTATATATATAGATAATAAAAAAAATTTTCATTGTACAGAATTCAAATTTGTGTACACAAAATATCATAATTGTATTTTTCATGTAAATTAATGTATCATATTTTTGAAAAGTTTTTAAAATTATGAAATACAGTAGAGACTCGATTATCCAACCCACGATTAACCGACACCTCAGTTAAATGACTGTCCTAGTCGGCAAATTTCAAATGTCCACTAGTGATGTGGCGCTACAATATTTGGCTATGTCTTGGCTACTTTAATATTATTTTTATGTGTTTTAGCTGGCAATTCGACCATGGAAGGGAGCCAGTATTTAAACGAGGCTTAATTTTCTAATTTTTAACGATATGATAGCAACGATTATTATTTTAAAAAATTTTTGTTAGGCTTAACATCGATGAAAATTCAACGCGAAGTAGGTTAATAGCGATATACTAATTACATGGGATATAATAATATACTACACTAATAATGGATTTTTTCATACTTTTCAGTTATCCGACTTTTCAATTATCTGACCAACCCCAGTCCCCAATTGAGTCGGATAATCGAGGCTCTACTGTACACAAATCTGATTTGTAAAATTATTGAAATAAATCTTACTTTTTAAACTGCAGTGAAATAATTTTATTGTATTAGTGTAAATTGTTTTTTTTTATTTTTCAATGCTAACAAAAAACAAAAGTTGTATTATTTAAAAATATATTCATTACCTGATTGAACTTAGCACATCTTAGAATCTATTCTGTTCTCTTTTTAATATAAATTTGTTTAGTAAGATATGTAAATATCTGGAATATACTTCACACATTAAATTTTTTGTTTATATTTTAATTTATTATAATAATGACTTCTTTACTGTTACTTTTTTAGCATCTGCATTGTTTTATTAATTATTTTTATTGTCGACAATTGAATGTATGTGTGTTAGAAATTTTATGCTATTAAATTGCTGTATTATTTCTTGAGATAGATATATATATTAACTATCAGTATCTAAATTTCTCTACATTTTTCTATTTATTTACATAAAATTTTTGTATTTGTTTTGTTTCTATAAGGTTTTCTTAAAAATCATTTTAATTATGTTTTGCTTTAAATAATTCTCCATAATTTTCAATAATTATTACTTGAAATTCCTAAACTATAAAAATAGAATTTAACAGATTATAAATTTTATGGTTTAATGGTAATATTAATAATTTTAAGAATTTTAAACTTAAATTTTAATATAAAATATTTAATTTATTTTTATTTAGTTAAAATGTTCTGGAAATTCAACCTTATTACTACATCCCATATAGAAACTCTCTTGAATAAAGAAGTAAGTTTATTTTGTTTTATGATCATAATTTTTTTTTCTTAATATCTTAGAATTTAGATTTTGTTTGATTCAATTAGTAAGACTAAGCTGACAGCTTATCTTTTGGATATTTGTTATACAGTTTGTATTAAACTAAGTTTTCACTTAGCCAGTAATATGTAAACTGCATTGCATGAATATAAATCCACTTGTGTTTTTTTAGCTATCCTAAGACTGAATAATTATAATACAGATATAATAACTTTATTACAATAAGTATTACCAATTGTTTTTTTTTAATCAGTTTTAGTATTTAAAGTTGAACAAATAAAAGAAAATAGCAAAAATATAATTTTTTAGTATTGCATGAATATGTCCACTTTATTCTGTTAATACATTTTTAATAGTCTATACTATTTTCATTTTGTAAAAACATTAATTATTATATTTGGTATAGTCTTTATCAGATTTTTTTAATGTGAGGTGTGATTTCTTCCCAGTTATTAAAAATTGCAATTTTAGTTTAACCATTGTTTTAAACTATTTTTCATCCTTTCTGACTGATCCATCAAGCACTCCCCACAGATTTTCAATAGGTTTTAATTTCAGGGAATAAGGTGGTCTGGCCTGTCCATAACTTGTATTCTATCCTCTATAAATCATTTGGAGGTACTGTTGGCATTGTAGACAGATGCGTTGTTTTGCTGAAATTCCCAAACTGGTCCATCAATCTTCTTTCCAAATAAGATTAGATGATTTTCTAGTAACTTATGATAGTCTTTTGTCATTCATTTGACCTTCAATTGGTACTGGTTTTTCCATGCGAGGTAAATTCTGTTCCAAATTATAAGAGTTACTACTTTGTTACCTTCTGGAGAAAATGTCTTCATTCTTGCATAGATTGCCAGTAACAGAGAGGTTGCAGCCGACGTTTTCAGCCCAAAACGTGAACATCGGACGTCAAGCATGCCATCTGACAATTCTAGAAGGTTGATAATAG